GCAAAAAAATGACATTTTCCTAAAATTTGTCATTTGCATATGTAACTAGAAGTTTCTACTACAATGCATCAAAACCTGGGGTTATTTAACCAAAAACTAAAAAAATTGGAGGGGGTACTCTGACTGGCTTTAAATAATAGCTTTTTTTTTCATGGATCACATTTATAATTTTTTAACCTATTAGATTTGCAAACTTTTTAAATCTTTCTATTGTGTTATGTAGCCTCAGTATTAGGCCTTTAATGCCCATTGACAAAATTTTTCTATATCAAATAGTTTGTGAGTTTTGGGAGTTTTTGCTAAAAAAACAAAAAGTGGTCTAAGTTACCCTGCCGGTCTAAGTTACCTCATTTTACGGTACCATATATGGTGCACATCGCAGTGAATGTAACTGCAGTCACAAGATTTTTGTTAATGAGTTCAAATCTTTTAATCTTGTCCTGTGGCCCAACTTATTAAAATGTTATATGTTTAATTTATAATAAAATTTGGGATGCCTGAAATGTGGAAAAATAAATATTAAGCATCAATGGAATGTAAAGAAAAGACAAGTTACTAGAATTTTCTATCCCTGCCTAAGATAGCTTGAATATATTGATCTCTCAAGCTGCAACTAGAGCTTTCCTACCATTTTCAGAGCCGTGAGATTTCTGCTAGTTGAATTATCTCCTATCTAATTGTTAACAAAAGTGTGCAGTTGGTCAGCAAGATTCCATATGTATAAAAAATTTGTCGCTTTGAAGCTGTAATATTTAATTCATAAGTAGGAAAATTTCAATCCTGCGTCCGAGTTTCTCCAGAAAGTGGCCAGGCCTGAAATTCTGTCATTCCAGTGACTAATGGCATCTTGTATTCCCATTTAAAGAAATTTTACTTGCTTGAAGACAAGCATTTTCCAAGTTAGTGTAAAACAATTGATGAAAATGTACTACTGTTTCCTGTAACAGAATAATTTAAATAGGTTAAAATACACTGTAATTGCATTTTTAACAACAAATGTAAGCAAATTATTTTTGGGTGCCAAACAGCTGTGCCATCCTCTCTCTTTGTGGTTCTCATTAGATACTTTAGAATTTTTGCAGAACCCTGCAAATTCGAGAGCATGCACAAAAAAATATCCTTATTTAAAGGGGTGGATAGCTAGAGGTCAGCATAGCCCAAGTCCACAGTGCGATTCATATACCTTCCCGAGCGTAACACAGCCGGGCATCTTCACGGCTTTCGACACAAAGCGCCCACCACAGGCCAGAGCACAACTGGCCGGAGCGCAGCAGGCCCTACCGCAACAGCTACTCCTAACGTAACCTAACCTGCGCCGCCTGTTGCGGTAGGGCCTGGGATGTGTGCCAGTTGTGCTCTGGCGCTGTGGAGCAGTGGCTGTGTTGTGCAAAGCGGATTTATTGTTAGCCGGAGTTACCCACAGCTCCTTGATCTGAAGCTATGTGTAGATATTGCATGCTGATGGTTGGCGTTGGGCCCAGGGCCTGTTTATGAGTGAATTTTGTTACCCACGGCTGCGTTCCCATTTAAAGTATCTTCTGGTACTGATTATAGATGAGAAAAACTACTCATGATGCACTCTGTGGCATCACTTGCAAAACACAGAAGCAATTAAAAAAAAACTTCTCGGTGAAATGGTGTTATTAGAATTCAAATGTATATATTTGTATTTATAAACCTAAAATGACCAAATTAAGCTGTTAGTTTAGGCATGGACACAAAGAGAAGTTGGATAAGGCATGAACATATAGAGAAAAAAAGCTACCACACCTCAGTGACAAAATCTGCTGGCCTTCCATATAAATCTTTTGTTCTGCTCTGCATTGTTTTTCTGCACTTTACCAATACAATATAATTATTGAAATTTTCTTTTATTAGTCACTGCATTTTGCTTATTTTTTTCTACAATTTCATTGCTCACTCGTTAAGTTATATTAATTAGTAACTAGATAGTAAATCCAGCATTGCAAAGGTTAGATGTTCTTAGAAATGTACGAAACCTGATATAAATCATAGCGTCCTAAAAATTGTGTGCCCTCAATGACAAAGTGCAAATTTCAATAAAAAATTATGTATAGCTGGTAGTAATCAATTGAAAACTGCTGGTCACCAGGTGGAGTTTTTTTTAGGAGCTATCAACATTCTGCATATTAGATTATTTCTAGATAATTGATTATTGAAGAGCTGTCTAAAGTAACCATTGTAGAGCTGTCTAAATTCTTTATATTAGATTGTTTTGATAAAGCAACACTAGAAGGCAAACACGTGAGGACATTTTGCAAGAAAACAGGACCCTGCCTCTAAAGGCACTTGGTTTCCAAGTTAGGTTATGTTTATTTTGAGCAGACAATTTTATTAAGTTCTTTCAGAAGATAACTAACTGCTGTAAACTTTATTAAAATGGGTATTGTCAAGTGGTGTTTATTTTCACTGTTGGTAGACGTGACATGAAATAAACCAAATTTGAGCGTGCGTGATATGTTATTGTAGAAAAGCATTCCACTAAAAAAATGATAGCTTGATGGACATTGGTTTTTTATGAGGAAGCATATTGAAACTAATATGGTAAAATGCTGAAGAATTTGTTTGTGTTGTTTGGTCTCCTATAAATTTGCTATAATTAGTTAACATGAAGAAATGCATCCACAATGAGACAAGGTGGCACCACATGAGGCTTAGCTGGCCTGCTAAGGATCTTTTAAGAATTCCAAGAAATGAAATTGAAGCCTGGCACAGTGGATAATATAGGGGGGTTATTTTAGAAATAAAATTTTCAATTTTCACGTGATGAATTGCATCAAATTGTTTTAAAGCCGCAAAATTAAGATTTCACAATAGTGAAATATACAATACATATCTCAATATGCAATCTCATTAAACATCTTTAGCAGGGTTGGTGATTTTTTGTTATTTAAAAAAAATTCATAACACTGCCCAGCCTAGGACCGTAGAAACACTGCCCTTGATAAGTCTTAGGCGGTGTTGCTTAAATGTACATCACCAACCCTGCTAAAGATGTACAATGAGATTGCATATTGAGAATGATTTTTGTTTTTTATGATTTTCTTATAGAATTTTTTTCAGCTTTTATGTCATTTTGAAATATTTTTTATGTTGCAATTAGCCTACTATCAAGAACAGTATATGGATGGCTAAAAGGGGCAGTTAATGCCTTCAAGAATGGCCAAGGTAGTGTTTACCAGTTTACCACTTAATGACTTTTGTGTAAACAATTATTAATAAGTCTATTCATTAGCTTTGTAAAGTTTATAAGGAGCAAAGTAACGAGCTAAATATTGACCATTTAACTGGCTTCAATATACAACAACACTTCAGGAATGCAGATCTTCTAAACATTGAAGAGTCACACAATAGATGAGATAGTAGGTAGCTGAGAGCACAGTGCACAACACTATCAATAGATTGACTAGTTATATGTCCTATAAATCTACCAGACTCTACCTTTTAACACGTTGACTACGATTGCTTCATCTTGTACTTTTGTTTCATTTTTCTAGTACTATTATGGAACAGGGTTGCCAGACTTTCTTTTTTTACCGGACAAATTCCACGATTTAGTTTTTTCAATTTAGGTGGTCGGCTAAAATTTATGATAGGGATTGTAAGGGGCGCTTCCTAATTAAATAAAAAAAATTTAATTTTTACACCGGAACCTACAAATATACTAGTATATATTGAGTTATAGGCCTTTTTGGCCTTTTTGTTCACGGACTTAATTGGCCATTTTTTAGGCCATCTGGCAACCCTGAATTATGTACCAGGAGAAATACATTTCGTGGTACGCATATGTACCAATACGTAGTCAACGTGTTAAACACACCAACTAGTAGTAACTGACTGCACTGTTCTCATTTGATTCAGACCAAGTAACCAATACTACTAAACATAAACTGAACGACAACCGAACAAACCTCAAACAACTTGAAACGAGACTAATGTTATGAGAAAAGCTAACACTGTTTGAAATAAACATGTACACAATTCAAACATTTTATTTCCTTTCACTGCATTTAATTATTTTATATATGGTATAGTTTTATAATTGTAATTGTTTTGGTTCTAGTCATAAATTCACATATTTAAAGATTGAAATTAAATATTTTAATTAGAATATCGTCAAGTGGGGTGACGTCAGCCACCGGGGGTGACTTTGGCCACCACTACAATAGAAACAAATGGAGCAAAACTAAATAATAAACGTTGGCCAAAGTCACCCCGGAGGCCAAAATCACCCCAGGCACTTAATCCAACGTTTATTATTTTGTTTTGCTGCCATTTGTTTCTGTTGTAGTGGTGGCCAAAGTCACCCCACTTGACGGTACTCGTATTAGAGTAGAAAATCTTTCTAAATGCCTAATAGGTCAACACAATCTCAACCAACCCTTCTTATATATGCTAGCTAACACATGTAAATTGTATAATGTGATTAATATATAACAAGTAGTCAAGTAGTTAAAGACTACTTATAGCCTTATAAGAATTAGCTAAGCTGCTAGCTATGTTATATGTACAATGTATTGATAACTTGATGCCTCTGTACCAAAAACATACAATTCATTGGAACGTATTACACACTAAGATTGAAGGCAACAGGTTCATATTCCATTTTGTCATAGAACATTTATACTAAACCATGAATAACACTACCTCAAAATAAATTGAAGACTGCCACTCAATATATTTAAATATGTAAAAAAAAAATAAAAAATCATGATTTTTTATAAAATCAATTGATTTATTCATATGATTTAGTCAGTTTGATAAAATCATTACCAACCCTGATCTTTAGATTTGCAAAATTGCAGTTTGAATTTTACAAACATAATTTTTGACAAAAATATAATGACCTCCAATATTGTAAACTCTTCTCTTATGCAGGCCATCATTACTAGATTCTTCCTTGCTGGATGTAATAAATTTTGCATTTACTTTATGGATTTATAAACCTTTTTTGTTATCTGTTATTCGGCTTACTCCACAATTTCAATAATGTTCTTCAACATAACAGATGGTCAAGATGTCCAGTGGGCTACTTTCTCTCAAGTGGAATCATCACAGATCCACATTCCTGCACGTGCTTGCCAACATACGACGGAAGGTCAGTTGTTTGTCGTTACTTTGGTAACTTGCGACTCGGACAGTAGCTTTGCTTATAGATGCAGGGAGCATGGCAAGCTTACCTTGTCTTATAAACATAAGACTAAATCAACTCTTTGCTTAGTTAAGCATGTGTTCTTGTAGTAAGAAAAATTTCATGAAAATGAGAAATTTTTGAACCATCAGTTTGTTTATTTGAGATCATTTAGAATTTAGTAACTGTTGCTTTAAATTATTGTCATTAGTTGATATTTTTGCAGATGGTTTAGAATAATTGAGAAGTTTTTAGCGAGTTTTCTCAATTATGAGTTTCATTCATACTCGGTAACTAGTAATTTAATTTAGTTACTACTGTACATATATGGTACTGAAACCTTATAGTTGTCAGGATAATGTTGATAATTTCTGCAAATGGTGTTGACACACGTAGTGGTTTATTTAATGAGGTCTTGGTTGCTTATCATTCCACCTGTTGCCTTGATGGATACTTTTCCTTGATATGCTGTTCAGATGCCTTGATGGATATTTTCCTTGATATGATGTTCAGATGCCTTGATGGAAGTATCCAATCTCTCGCCCTGTTGTACGATGTATAACCAAGTTTGTACTGGCACGTGTGCAGGAGTCGTACAGCGATGTCACCCTGGCATGTGCCGGCAAGTTTTACCCCGCGCACAAGTTGGTCTTGTCAACCTGCAGTGAATATTTCGAGGAGATGTTTGAGAGAACACAGTGTAAGCATCCTGTTATAGTTCTCAAAGACATTGGTGCTGACGATCTTGAGGCTTTGTTATCTTACATGTATGATGGTGAAGTGAACGTATTGCAAGAGAATTTATCTAGTTTAATTAAAGCAGCCGAATGTCTCAAAATAAAGGGCCTTGCGGTAGCTGACAGTGATCCAACTGACAGAACAAAGGAGAAAAAACTGCATCCATCAAGTGGCAGCTCCATTAATGCTAACAGTAATATTAACAATAGTAATAGAGATGTTCATAGAAATGAGAAGAGGCCAGTCAATGGAAGTGGCATCAAAAGAACTAATGTAAATAGTAGCTTTTCTGAAGACGTTGCACAGCCAATAAAGAGAAGACGACCAGACTCCCGCACTCCCCTCAACACATCAGCGTCTTCTGAGGAACAAGAAGCTCCTGTGACTTCTAATGAGAGTGCTGCTGCTCCTGAACCTGCCTCTCCTGTAGGTGAAGATGGTAATAATGGCGGCAGTGGTGGTGAAAGTCAGCCTGGGGATGATGCCAAGTCTGCTGAGGCATCAGAAGAGGCCAACAACTTTCTCCAGGTGAGACCAAGTATTGGATAAACTCTTCAATTCTCTTCCAACTGACCAAATTTAATGTTTCTTTGATTCATGTTTGTTAAGTCCTGAAAAAGTTCAAGTTTTTTGTTGCTACCGCTTGAAAGGTAGAAAAATGCTCGATCTCATTTGATAACCTTTAACTTTGATGCTGGAAATTACTTCTCAATCTTAGCTCGCTATTGTGAGCAATAAAGCTTGTGTTGTTGTTACGTGGATACTTTGGCTGCTGTTGTTTCTTATAAATGAAGAAAAACCTTAGTGTATAGTGTGCTGTTTTAGGCAACTGATGCCATCTCTTCCATGCTATAATGGTATTCATTCAATATTTCATGCACTGGTGTACAATAATTTTCATGTGTGGTAGTAGAACTTAATGGAAATTTCATCAATAGATGATTCTTCTTGGTTTAATAATACATTATATATATTATTTTGATGCAATACAAGTTTAAATATTTTGTTTCAGTCTAGTTTGAGTTGTGTTTTCATTGCGGCCATTTAATGTAAGTTGTGTCATCTGCTCAGGACCTGAATGTAGACGCGGGCGTGAAGGCGGAGCCCGTGGAGGTCCTGGACGCGGATGACCTCACATTTGACGGCAGAGAAGACGAGGACGCGGGGCCTGACCATCCTGGTGAGGACCTCCCCGACTTCACTGAAGAAAAGTTCTCTGGAGGTGAAGGCGAGGACCCCTCCCTCTGGGGCGGTACTGATGAAACTGACCTCTTCTCTCAGGTGAGGACAAATGTGCTTGTACGAGCATCACTTCATGGCTTCAATTATATTTTATCAGATATTTCACAACCAATAAAGTGGCCCAAATATTTGCAATATCTTTATAGAATAAAACGTTTCAAAGAACAGCTCCATTGTCAGTTATGCAATCCTAGAATGCACGAAACAATCAGTTTTCTTTATATATCCTGTTAATATAAACTCACTGTCTGAAGTTCTCTGTCCTAACTTGTGCTACTGACAGTGTGTATAGTTGGTAGCTCTGGTAGTTAACCATCGAGATCCACTCTACGGCTATGCTACGTTACGTTTTGTGGCAATGCTTCAAATCTGGTTTCGTCGTTCGCTGTGAATCACTCGTATAGATAGAATAAAAAGCTCTTTCGTATGGCTGTTATAGTTGGTCTGCCGTACTTCTTGTCTACTATAAATAAATTTTGTTTTGGTCGTCATGAAGTATTACGTTTATACACGTGCGTATTGATTGCTCGGTATGTCCTTGACTTCAGCTTCATGATTTATTTTAGTGTTGCTTGCTATATTGCTTCATGAATGTACGCAGCAACATTATGTGTTATGATGTTAGGATCTCCAAAGCTATAAACATTCCCTTCCCATGACTCGTCTAGATCTATGATTTGACTTCTAATCTTAACTGATCTTTCCTTTGCGCCTTACAGCCGAGCCGTGCAAATCTATGGTATGACTGTTAGTCTTGACTGATATTTCCCTTGCGCCTTACAGCCGAGCCGTGCAAGTCTATGGTATGACTGTTAGTCTTGACTGATATTTCCCTTGCGCCTTACAGCCGAGCCGTGCAAGTCTATGGTATGACTGTTAGTCTTGACTGATATTTCCCTTGCACCTTACAGCCGAGCACGTCGAATTTCGGCGAGGATGACGTTAAGAAGGACGCTGCAGGCGGAGACAAGAGTGGCAACACCTCGTCATCGGTGAGTGTTGCCTTCTCCTTATTGTTATGTGAGCTGCCCAGTCTTGATGAAGTGAGGCTCTCGTTTGCTTTACCCTTGCTTCCCGTTTAGTCATGGCAAAGAATATATTAGTTCAGTCGTAACATTCAAAGCGACGATTTTGTAGGTATTGTCTCTGGTCTCGTATCACTAATATTTTCGGGGACTGCGCGTCACCATCATTCTTTGGTGACGTAATCGTAATTCACCATCATCATTTCGTAAATCGGTTTTATGCAATTGCGTTGTGCTGTCTTTCAGTTGATACCAGCTCGTATCTAAAATACGGAAAATTGAAACTTGAAAGTTTTCAAACCCTCACGTACGTTAAATATCTCAAGTCAAATGGAATAATTGCTATCACAACATAAAGTCATCAGTGATTGAATGTAATAGGCACTATTGTCTGACAATATTTTTCATTTTTCATTTTTTATTTTCTCATTCCACGTTTTCTTAATTTATTTCGAAAATTTGGTTGAAATGATGCTGTTCATTCGTACCTGTCACTAATTCGGATTTCAAACGACACCGAAGAGTTGCTTTTTTTATTGTTGATAGTTCTTCATGGAAATCGAATAAGCCTAGAACGTCACTCGCTCATCTCTTGTTGTATAAAATAAAGTAAAATTCAATTCCTTTCCTTGCGTCATGTTCGAAAAAGTTTGATAGTTCGTGCTTTTGATGATCGCTGCTTGTAGTCGGGAGTTGTGTTTTTCAAAGTGATATTAATTTGGGCAGGGGCTAAAGCACAATTTCGGCAATAGCCGAGGAGCGATCAGACTTGACAATAGAGCTTCTATTTATATTCGTAATGCTTGCTCAGTCGCTCACTGTTATCATACATTGAGAGTCGTCAAGCTACTTGGAAGCCTTATCTTGAGAATCATTTGATAAGTCAGATCACAGGCTACAATATTAGCGTTTACGTTCGATTACTGTCTGAATTATTGTAACTTTGAATTACATCACTTATACTTCAAAATGAATGAATTCGCACGAATTAGAGAATTAAAAAACATATGACCCCTTGTTGAGCGCGTTCCGAGTCAAGTAAGCTCTTAATTATGCAGTTAGTAGTCTCGCTTCATCATACTGTGCAGCTTACTTAACTTCCTCCAATCTTGTTATTATTTCCATGATCTCTTACTTAAATTTTAAGTGAACTCGAATGGGCCCCGATTTGGAATGGAGTTCTACGTCTCCTTTATTTGCCGGTCAAAGCCGATATTTAATACATTAATTTCTTGAAGTCTAGGGAATCAGGGCTGTTTACTTGACATTATTAATTCTACACCTAACTTGAAATTGAATTTTTCAGTATAAAAGCAAGACGTGAAACTCTATTTCCGAACTGAACCAAAGTAGCATCGTTTGCGAAAAGTTGAATTAACATTAATCCAAATACGCTGTTTCGAAATTTGATGGAGTTTTTGTGTAAATGAATGATGGGAAATGCTCAAGTCTTTATTCCTACTACCCATTAAGCTACTCTTATCCTAGATATTCCATAGATAGAATGGTTGATGCATAGCCTCAAGTTTTTGAAGATGCCATGCATGTTAATTTCTGAGGAATACTTGTAATACACTCGCGAAGATGCTATTTTGCGCGTTTCTATGTTTACTTTGCTTAGGATTCTGGAAAAATCGATTCGCTTTGTGCCATGTTCTTTTTGCTATTTATATCGTCCGTATTGACTAAGCACCGTCGTCTATTGTCTTATCTTCTAATGGAGTTGAGTTTCCATCGCTTTTGAAACTTGCACATTTATGAACCAACCATTAAAAATGTTTTTTTTTTGTCTCTTCCTTGGAATAACGTATTTACAGCAACTGAATGTGGGGGTAGTGTTGATATCAGTTAATGAGTTTAGGACAGTTGTTAACTGTAAAAAGTCGCAGATTTTCCGTATATACTTTCTTCATTAAGAGCCGCGTCTGTTCTCAGGTAGGTTATTGTTCTCTGATGGTATACAATACGCCGCTCCCTCATTAGTCCGTCCTCCTGCAGGGCTGAGACGTGCAACTGCAATGCGTTAGTCAGAAGTGGAAGTAGCAATAATCTTGAAAAGAAGAAGTAACTATTAGAACTATTTCGTGTTTTAGAAAGGAACTTCTTAGTCCGAAGTTTTTTCAAATCTATAGCGCGTATATCTTTATGTATTATGTCAGGTGCTGCACTGGTTTGATAACGTATGGTTAAAAATTTGATTCACATTCATTTACAATACCGCTTTCTTTATATAATCTGTCTCCAAATCTCTGAAGATTTCTTCGTCCGACAAAATTTTATTGAGACCGCTTCGCCAAGGACTCGTTTGGCTCACTTGTTTGCTTTATGTATGGGTGCTGCTGAAGCGTTTGCGGTCGCCGCGTAATACTTACCTTCTGCATGCAGTAACAATTATTGGATTTAAAATTGTTGTACTGCTCAGCTTGCAGTTTGTTCCACTACTGCGAGAAATAATCTGTTCATATATTATTTAAATTGAATGCCCGCAATGTCAGGCTCTTGTTCAGGCCTTTAACAATTTTGTATTCACTTGATTCCACATTTGACTGGACTGCATTTTTTGGATAGGATTCCTCGTTGATCAAAGATTAATTTAGCCATTGACCATAGGCTAACATGTAGTGGCCTCATTTTTTTAAAGGTGGCTAATTTTTCTAGCGGCTCTGCTGATTTAGGTTTTGATCTTGTCTTGTGATCAATTACTGTTAATTTATCTTGGGGTGTCATTTACCCCTTCATTCTTCGAAAAAAGTTTGAAGTTTCTCCAGTGGCCATGAATCGAAGTTTTCAACTAACCCAAGTGCTGATACTAGCAATTTAATTTCTAAATTTGTCGCTTGAATCAAATCATTAACTGAAATGAATAGATTCAAAGTCTGTCATAGCATTTTACTATGGGCGTGCTAAGGCAGTTCAACTAAAGAAAGTAGTCGTAAGGCTTTATGTTGTTCACATGTTTATCGCGCTTATTTTGGAGGCCCGGGAACAATGAGAACATTTGCGCGCGCTGCAAAAAGCTGTCACGTGAGCCCGTCTTTTGTGTCTCACGCGCAAAATTGCTGGCTAGGGTCTGAATTTAGTCATGGAATAATCGTAAAATTGTCTCAAAGTCAGCATTACCTGAAACATCAGTTGGTGCACACATGTTTGCCGAACCATATTTAAAGTTAGCAATACTCGAATGCAACCGTTGGCGCACACATGTTTCTCCAAACATATTTTCGATGCCAAATATATTATCGATGTAGTATAAGCTTGAAAGCAAACGATATCTGTCAAGTGAATTCTGAAACTGTTACGCGTATCTCTGGGAATTGATGTGGAGTTTATTAGAGAGTACTTTGACTACTTCTGGTGAATTGCTTACTCGTGTTATGTATGGCTTTAATAAAGCAATCAACCACTCAGTCGTGCATTCTTGAATGTTATCGACGAGGCACTATTTTTTTCTTTTGTTATTCAACTCTTCAAAATTGACAACTGAAGATGAATATGCTTGCATATATTGTTTTTAGCCTCGTTGAACGTTACCTATTCCACGGCTGCTTCTGGTATTACAGCGCCTCTAACCGATTGAATATTTGAAAGGAAATCTTTTTGGTACGTATTTCGGCCGTGACACGTCTGGTGTAGTTGGGTTGAGACGTGACAGCAGAAAAAACGGTGTCTATGAGTTAGTGAGATTCAAGTAAGGGCGATTTCGCGTATTGTTTAAGGCCGAAACTGAGCATTATTATTTTTTTGTGGTTCTAGGTATCAATGTATTCCATAACTGTACGCGCTGTTTCATTTACTTGACTGGATAATTGGTTATGTCGATCTCAGTAAGAAACCTATATTGTGGGTCGGCGCTATTGATGTGATCTACTACCAAGTTTGGGAGGTCATTCGCATGCGGAGGATATCTCAAGAATTTTTAGTTCGTGACTCCTTATAAAACTATACATTTATCAAAGTCTAGTAATCCCTATGGCGAATTTCTTGGAAGATGTTGTAGATCAAATTTTCTTCTAATTTTAGTGTGGCTACATCTAAAGAGTTCTGCTCATATCTTTTATCGAACTATCGTCTCTTCCTTCACCAGCTTACTAGCCTTCTAGGGATCATTACGAAGTGTTTCTTCATTGTATTACTTGGATAAGATCTTATCATTTATTGCGATTATTTAATTTTCAAAGAGAAATGAGACGTGATTTTTGGCTTAAGCTAGGCTTATGTGGCAGCGTGAGTGGTGTGGTGGTCCCGGTAGTGGTGCAGTGACGGTGTTGTACTGCCTACAGATGGCGGCGCCCCTCGAGAGCCCCTTGTCTTGGCTCGCTGACCCGGACGTCTCGAGTGCCGTCCTCAGCTCCGCCCCCGGTCGCCTCGCGATAAATAATTTCACTGATGGCGCGGATCTCCTTACTTCACCGCAGTCCTGCTCAGCCACTCGCTTGCTGTCCCCGTCCACTGCTTTCAGCTCCTGTAAATTACCCAAAACTCGACCAGCGTTTGTCGCCGCCTCCGAAATGTCGCTGCCAAAGTTCGACGTGTTTAGGGACGGCTCAGCCCGACGTCAACAACCGTGCATGGAAGCGAGTCCTGCTAAACCGACCATCTCTCCCGACAGATTCATTGACTCGCCTTTATTCCCTGGACTTATGCGTACGCTCTCGTCGGATATTCAACACAATGTGGAAGTCAACGCTCGCGGGGAACGAATATTTTATTGTATGTTTTGTCCATACAACTCGACCCGCTCGGATACTCTCAAGGTTCACATTCGCATCCACACTGGCGAGAAGCCTTACTCCTGCAAGCTGTGCTCCTACCGCTGCAATCAGAAGAGCCAGCTCAGCCGCCACATCGCCTCCAAACACTCCACGCCCTCATGAGTCGTGTAATTTGTGACTAGCTTTGAGCTCCGTTGAGTCCCTTTCTGTAACCGAGTTATGATATGATTGGATACAATTATTTTAATTTGATCT